CCGGGAAGCCCGGGGCAGAGCACCCCAGCTGGTCAGTTTCAGCAGCGGCTGACTCAGAGAAGTCTGGGGCAGAGCAGCTGGGGTGCTTCCGGGTTGGTCCCCTAGCGCCGCCCCTCTCGGTGCTGCAGGACCAACCCGGCAGCACCCCAGCTGCTCTGCCCCAGACTTCCCCGAGTCAGCCGCTGCTGAAACTGACCAGTGGCTGACTCCGGGAAGCCCGGGGCAGAGCACCCCAGCTGGTCAGTTTCAGCAGCGGCTGACTCGGGGAAGGCTGGGGCAGAGCAGCTGAGGTGCTGCTGGGTTGGTCCCACAGCACTGATGGGTGCACCCCCCCACTCCACCCCAGACCCCTCATAGCCCCCCCTTCCGATAGTCAGGCATATCTGATAATCCCGCACCCCCTGGGTCCTAAAGGTGCCGGATTATCGGAAGTTTACTGTATATATAAAAAACATGGAGAAATACTATGAAAGTTTTATCAGCTTCCCTTTTCCCCAATGAATTTTAAAATTTTAATTCAGCTCTAATAGTTCATCTTTAGTAAACATACTAGAAACCTTATGCAGAGTTAAAGTGTAGATTGTGAGCCTTATCACCAACTAGAAAATCTCTGCCGGAGTTCCCTAAGTAACACGAATTGCCCAAATAATGTTTTTTCAATGTAGTCAGCTGACAAGCCCACGGTGATACATTCTGCATGATGTAAACTTATGATGGCCTCTTGCTTTATGCCAATGTAAATAACTTCCCTCTTGTACATCTCTGCATCTATCCCACTCTCCCTCCCTCCTTCCGCCCCGATCTTTTTTTTAGTTATTAATTCAGGAATTTTTCTCAATATATTTCTCTTTGGATAGATAAAATGTAAAACTTTTGGGATTACATCGGAAAAGTTGGCAATACACCTCTAACTTCATGGAGAAGCTTGTCTCATGTCACCAAATTCTGCAGCCTCTTTTCAGATTTCCATTATGTTTTGCTCACTCACTTGTGATGCATGGAGTTAGTTAAGGGTATTAGTGAAATGTAAGTCAGAGGTGAAAAAACACCAACTGCATTTATGGTGATGGTAATTAAGTCATTAATTCTGTTGACCTAACACCCTCCAAGAATCATATCCACGAGTTCTGGATTGCACTGACCATGGTTATCATACCAGAGATTAATATCAAGCTTCTGCGAAGTCTTAAGCATATATTCTTCCTTCCAAAGTCAATCTTAGGTATGCTCATTTAAATTACTCCTAATCTTCCTATGAAACTATCCTCCCTTTTGGCAACTACAGATTCAAACAACAGGCAAACAGAAAGAACTGCACTTTTTGGAGAATGTCAGAATATCCATGGATTGTAAATTGAGCAAAGGGGTCTGTCAATCGCTCTAATGTGCACAATATTTAGTTCTTACTACATTACATATTATATTGGCACTAATAGATCAGAGAGAGTCCACAGTTCACACAATCCTCAAATATTTATCTATATAAAAGCTAGAGTCTTATTTAAGGTGATTTCAGTACTAGGAAAATATGGTGGTATGTGATTCTTCAATGCTAAACATCATCATACTGCTACACCAATGTTCCCCTGAATCTCTTCTCCAGGGTTCTAGCGCAGGAATTCTTAATGTGGGAGTTATGACAGATGTCCAAAGTTATAACTAACCTATCCCTCACAGACAGATCAGAAGAGGTCAATGTCGAGACTGGATAAATATAGGGGAGTGTGGGGGGCAGAACAGTAGGAGAAAAGTTTGAGCTGTACTATTGAGGAAGGATGATCCATATTACAAATATTTGCACAATGAAGTATAAGAAAAGTTGGGATAAGCATCAAGGTTTTTTATATGTAAAACTTTTTAGCCAAATCTTAAAAAACTGTAGAATTTTCTGATGTTTACAACTCTTTTCCCCCTCTCATTATATTTAGCAGCTTTAATGTGTGAGTTTAAAGCGCTGTTCCTACAATATGCTTCTATTAGGCAGACCCTTGTACCCACATGACACCTATTGGCTTCAATGGGACTCTGAACAAGCACTCCAGTTATCTGAAGAAGTGGGTTGTGCCCACGAAAGCTCCTGTTCCATGATTTGTTAGTCTTTAAGGTGCTACTAGTCTATTTGTTGTTTTTTTAAGTTTTTCCTGTTACATACTAACTTGACTACCCCTCTGAAGCATTTGCACAGAACTCATTATTGGATCAGGGCTATGACAAAACACTGCTTTCTTTGTGGTAAGCGAACAAGAGGCAACTACAGGCAACTTCACTTAAGGGATGTGAATGGTTAACCAGTGCAGCCTCCCTTCCTCCCCTCTGCTGTTTAATCTGTTAACCAGTTAAATATAATGTTTAACTGATTAACTAATTAAACGGGATTGTACATGCCTATTCTAGTTGGAATGGTTATCACTTGACTACTATATACAATGACCAAAGGAATGGGGGAATAGTTTCCAATGGGTATCATAGCTTCTGTCAATGGAACTTTGTTAAACCCTGTGGTCTGCTACGGCCAAATGGCTGAGTTGCTTCCAGCCTAAATCCATGCATTCCCTGTTCCTTTGGTGTCCCCTGAATAGCAGTGCCTCCAAGTAACATGGGCCCTCTGACTCCAGTTCCACTGATACAAGACTCAAGATCTTAGCTATTTTCTGGACAGCTTTAATTTGGTCTTTCATTTGGTCTTGGTTGGCTTTCACCTAATCTTTCATTTGGACGTGGCTGACCTCTTTTTTTCATTACAGTTGGCTTAAATTTGTTCTGTTTTCTGATATAAATCTAATCCTGACTGGATTTAATTCTAGCTACTTTTTTGTGAGGCCGTTATTGTTTGATGACAAAGCTTTCCTCCCAATTTTACATGTTTGATATCCAGCTTTCAATACAATTTGTTTGGCAGGTTAATGTCAAATAGTTTCTAGCAGTTTGGAGCATGTGTTTATTATTTAGTATTTATTCAGTGAATCCGCCCCAAAGTATGGTAGATGCCATGGAACAAATGGCAAAGCGAGATTTACAAATGGACTAGGGCATTTAGCCACTTAGGTCTCATTAATATAACTAGGGAACTGTATGGCTAAATTCCCATTGGTTTCAAAATATCCCATTCCCATTGGTTTCAAAATATCTCGCAGATTCCCTGCCTTGATGGGTTTGTAATCTAAGAAGCGGCTTAACAAAACGGAGAAAGAGGTAGAGTCATAATGTAATAGGGACCAAATCTTTTATAACACAAGCTATTCTTTTGTAATTGTTGCATAGACATTCATTTTCACGTGAGGTGCATTATTAATATTTTATACTAAATGTAATTCTTAACTGCTAAAATAGATGCTCGCAATTTTCCACGTGAAGAAGTATTGGTTTCCCCTACTGAGCACGTTAAGTGAGAGTTAGTAACATGATTTTTACTAAGGCTTTTAGAATTAATTTGTTTGTGATACCAATTCCACTTTTGATAACTGTTTAAAAGCACAAATGTTAACAACTTCTACTTCTCTTTTAAATAGCATAACAAATTGATAAAATTAAACCAAGTATATAGTCTTCCTCAGTTGGCACCTCTCATGGCTTTTCCTGCTGCATCCCCGAGGAATGGAGAAAATAAGGGAAAAGAAACTAACAGTGACAGGGCTACAGGGGAATCCCACTAAGGGTGAGAAAGGAGAAATGGTGCCGCCTCCTCTGCCTTCATTTCCTTAGTCACACCAGCTACCTGCATTGCCACCTGTTTGCACAGTGGCTGAATGACTCTGTGTCGCATGGATATCAGTCATAAAAACAAGGGTGAAAAGCTGAGTGCTCTGTTAGTAGTGTTTTGCAGTTATATCGGGGTTTTTTCATCTTCAGAGCAGTTTACAAGCTAAGCATTCCTCACAGTGTCTCTTTGCAGAATGTAATACACACATTTTTCAGACAAGGAAATTGAGTACATCAAATAAACTCTTGATCTCTAAGTTGCAAATGGTCCATTTCAGAGCAGGCATTAAAGCTTTGAGTGCTCCTCGCTTCCAACGCTGTATTCAGACCACTAAGCCCCACCTTTATGTGATATGGAATCTTTACTTAATAAGGGCTTTTACTTGGAATGTTAAATCTAAAACTATGTAACATTTTTAATCAATATCTGAATTAGGGATTGAAAAAGTGTATACTGGATCATAGAAAGTTCTGATGCAGATAAAAATGTCTTGTGACCAAATCCACCTTTCCCCAGAGAGATGGGAACTTAAAAGGCAATTTATGCCACTAATTGACCCACTTATCTTTGATTTTTAGCATAGAAATAATGGGGGGGGGGAGGATGTTTGTATTGTGAGTGTGGTTGCTGAAAATGCCCAGATCACAAGAAGCAGTAAATAAGGGGTAATGACAGTTTTTACTGTCTACAGTGCTTTTCTCAAATAATACCTTACAAACTTGAGAGAGCACCACCTACCTTTTTGCCATTAAATTTCCATTTTCACATAATTGCAGAATGAAGAAATACTCAGTAATGACAAAGATAAGCTGCTAATACCTGGCCCTGCACTGGGGTGGGCGAGATTTTCTGTTTAAAATTATGCACTTCAAATGTCTCCTTTGCTATGATCCAATGCAAAAGCTATCAGTTCTAGTTACATGTGAATATCCTTTAAATCTTAAGTATCCTGTTTAAAAACACAATCCTTGGAACAGGGAGAGTTAAGTCCAGATTCATATTGTACAGAATGCAAGCTATGGACTTACTAAAAACAACAACAGAACAGGCAAATCTGTATGATCGCCTCCTATTTTCTAGGGACTGTTGGCTGTGCTCGTTGTGAGGGGTGCTCCAATATTACATCCGTGCTTGGGTGTCTGATTTAGCTTTCTAAAAGGGAGGGTTTTCATTTTTATAAGTGAGCTTCTGTGATGACGTTCCTGCACTCAGCTGCTAGCTGCAGTGACACTGCAATGGCTGAGGGGCGGCTGTTGGATGTTCGCAATGAGCTCATTCTCCCAGGAGGGAGTAGGGCTTACAGTGCATCACCCGGCAACTGCAGCCTTCCTGTGAAATTCATCTTTAGCTTCTCCTCAGTTAGGCTGGTCTGATTCTTCACTTTGGGGGTGTGAACATGGTGAGCAGATTTTTCTGTATGGTTCATTCCTTTCCCCCACCCTTCTTCTAAATGCTTCCCTGGACTGATTGATGAATCATTCCTCATCTGGTCCACTGTTCAGAGGACAGAAATGGAAAATGTAATCTCATGCAGCAGGGATGGATTTTTTTAAAAAAAGTCTTTTGCAATGTGAATCATGAAAAAATCCTTTAAAATCTGTCTGCTAGGAACAGCCCACAGGTTTTAGAATGAAGTGCACTGCATACAAGGAATGGTACTATCCTCAGGTAAAGCAGACAAGCAGTGTGCATCATGATGGAGCATGCCTGTAAGGTTAGTTTCTATATATGTTTGTGAATATCTATGTATGTATAGAGTACATATATTGCTTCATATGTACAGTTACATAAGAATGATCTACTTTATATATTTTATCTAATCCATTTTCAAACATCCTGTTTTGCATGCTGTTTTTGGCATAATTTTTAAAATATCTAGCATATTTGATATGATTAATAAATGCAGCTATGATTCCCAGCAGCTTTCATTTAGGAAGCATGGAGGCCTTCCTGCTGTAATGGTATTATATTTTATTAGATAAGTAGTCACTTCTTCTTGCTGTAGCTATTAAGTCACAGACTCTTCATGGAATCTGAATTAAATGTGGTTGAACTGAAACACCAGAACCTATGTGTGTAAATATAGATCCATTCTGCATTTGTACATGATAATGTTGCATTATTTTCAGGGCCTTGCAAGTTGTGAACTATTTATTGTACTGGGTCCTTTCCATGTTCACTAAATGAATAATTAATTTATTAAATATTTTATTTTTTAAACTTTGATAGGTTCACATACTGGATGTAATAGAACCACTTTCTATTCAATGATCTTTAACCTGTTAGATTAAAAGAGAAGCTGCTATTTCCCAAATGTCTCCTTCCTTTCTGTCTATACATGACATTTATTCCCATTTTCCTTTCAATAAATGTGTCTATCTTTGCCTATACACTGTTTAAAATACAGACAGAAGCTTTCCAGAAAAAAATTAGATCTAAATCAGACTGGTTTTTGCCTGTTATTTCTTACACCAGGATACTTACAGAAAATCCATGCAGTGTATAGCAAAGTCTACATTTATGGTATTATTCCTTCGATCCATCATTCATTTGAAAGATATAGTTGCTTATTGCCATCAACCGTTTGGACTCAGTGCTCTTGATTACACACAATGGGTAGTATGTTGTTATAAATGTTTGTTTTTCAATGTACAACTGTGAATGTATTACAGGTGTTTGAAGTACACACAGTACAAGAGATTTTGGGATGGGAGTTGTCTTAGTACTTTAGTCTCAAAGTTTAAGTTCTGCTTATTTCGTATTAGCTGTCACCCTTTGGATTGGAAAATGATTATTCTCTGGAGTAAAATATAAATTTCAAGATAATAAAGGAATTAATTCTAAACAGGTCTTGAATTTTAAAAAATCTCCACAAATTCTACAAGAATAGGAATAGACACATTCTTGGAACAGGAGAAAACTTCATTTCTAACTTAAATCCTGATTTAGGAAAACTTCTCTATTCAGGACAACTCTTCAGCATGAGCTTAATTTTAAGCACATGCTTAAGTCTCACTACTTTTCTGAATAGGAAACAGATTTAAATATGTTTCCTGAATCAAGGTGTCTCTGTTTCCTAGTATATATTTAGAAAGAGATATTTGCTAAGATCTTCTGCATTGTAAAACTTTTTAAAAAGTTTCTATGTGCATTATCCATTTAGTTAAGCAAGAGTACAATTTGGCTTTGCTCTTGTTAAAATTTAAATTTTAAGCATTGCCTTGTATTGTAGTGGGTTCAGATTCAAAACTAACTGGCAAATTTGTACTTACAGATGAATGCTTGTCTCAATAACAGAATGCTTTTGAATGATGATTCCTTCATTTTAACACCTTCCTTCAAAACATCTGTGTTTATCTTTTGGAAGGAAGGTGGCAAACATCTCAAAAGTTTGTCAGTAGGTGTGAATCTTATTTTACTATATAAGTAATTAACCACCCTGGTTCAAGATTTTCTTTCATGGAGGTGAAAAGAAGAAATGCTCAGGCAATCTTGCTAATTGACTTGAATCTGGAATTTGAACTCATCTTGATTCAATAAAGTAGACAAAATCATTATGTCAAATAGTCATAATGTAGTTGAATTTTAACAGGCCTGAATAACTTTATGACCAATAGTAATATCTGTAGTCATGCATATTGTAATAAGTGTAAGCCAGATATAGGCTAATCAGGGTATGTGTTACTAGGGAATCAGCCTTGCCTTTGACCCCCCATCTCCATCTCTGTAGAACTGGCTGAAAGGAAAAAAGGAGGTCACCTTCTTCTGAAGTATCAAGTGCTGCCCATCACTGGAGGCAGGATACTGAACCTGATAAATCAATGGCCTATCTAATTTTCCTATGTTGTCTCTTATGATAAAGTCCTATATGAGTGGATAGAGACATACCAAGTGTCAAAAGAAATTAAATAAGGTTCTATAGAAATTGTTCTTTAATAGGGAATGGCAGCCTTCCTTTTGAACTATACTGTACAATTCTGGAATAGGCTCATAATTTTTTACTATGTTACATAAATGGTTGCAAAAATCTATGATGTTATCTTGCACTCTTACTGCCTCCAGGACCATTTAATAAGGGATTTCTTATTAACAGATGCCACAAAAGACAAACAACAGGTTCAGTAGAGTCTGGCAATTATCCAGCAATTCAGTTATTCCAGCACTACTCTTTAGTTTTTCACTTTTGTTCACTATACAAAAAGTATTTAAATTAAAACATCAGAAAAACAGTTTGGTAGCAAAATGCATTTATTAAAATAAGAGCTTATGCTTTTTTGGGGAGCAGTACATTGACATACTTTTAAATCACACCAATGGATGTTCTTTGATGTTGTAATTGCCACATTGTTCCACCAACCCCAAAAGCACTTGACCTTGACCAAGGGCATGTGAAGAAAAGTTTATTACTGGGGCCTTTCCAAATTCAAAGCCATGAAAGCAACATCATGGACCATGAAATCTGGTCTTCCCCTGTGAAATCTGGTCTTTTGTTACTTTTACATAACACTGCAGATTTCAGGGGTGAGACCAATGCTTCTCAGATTAGGGTCTTGACCCAAAAGAGAGTTGCAGTGGGATAATGGTATTGTCACCTTTATTTTAACACTGCCTTCAGAGCTGGGCAGCTGGAGAGCAACAGCTGTTGGCTAGGTGTCCAATTATGAAGGCCAGCACCTTTCCAACAGCAATGCAGAAGTAAGGGTGGCAATACCATACACCCTTCTGCACTGCTGCTTCACCTGTATAGCTGGAGAGTGGCAGCTGTTGATTGAGGACCCAGTTCTGCAGACAGCTGCACATAATAGGAGTGGCAGCTGTTGATTGAGGACCCAGTTCTGCAGGCAGCTGCACATAATAGGAGTCATACCACACTATGGCACCTTTACTTCTGCACTGCTCCTGGCAGCAACTTTGCCTTCAGAACTAGGCTCCTGGCCAGCAGCTGCCTCCCTCCAGCTCTTACCAGCAACAGTGCAGAAGTGCGAGTAGCAGAACTGCAACCCCTCCCCCCACTATAACCTTGCAACCTCCCCAGCTCCTTTTTTGGGTCAGAATCCCTACAGTTATAACACCATGACATTTCAGATTTAAATAGATGAAATAATTAACTTTACAATTCTTCAAATCCTATGACTGTGAAATTGCTCAAAACGGACCATGGTAGGGTCCATAGGTGTTATCTTTCATAGTAACTGGCTCAATGTTATAGGTCAGCTCAAATTTAGAAATGTATTGATATGATCACTTTGGTTTTTTCCTGGGTTCTTATTTTCTCCTTTTCTACATCCCACCCCAAATCCTCATATTGTAATACCAGCCGTAAGGATGAATTGCTTTACTGATGAAATTGCTGGTTATTTGACACCCTGGAAACATGGAGCTACTTAGAGATGTTCCAGAACAGAGCCTGGGAGAATCACAGAGGGCATTCTCAAGCTAAGATGAGTGTGTCCTGAGGCTTATTTCAAATATGGTTCATCCACATAAAGCTAGTAACCAAGTTGCATCTGTTGTTTCGTGAGAAGTATTTTATCGTAAGTCAGACTAGAATGTGTTTCATGTATTCCTGAGGTTGCTATGGAAGTAATCTAATATTAATTGAACAACAGGCTTTTAGCTATGCAATCCTGATGTACTATTCAGTGATATTTAGACCTGCCATCTGTCCACGGTAGCCCTGACTTTTATTTCAACACTTTGTGCAAATCTGTATAAATGTAATTAGCTGATGGAATCAGTACTTTGGATGCACAAACATTTCTCTTGGTTTTGCTGATGCTGCTATATTTTGCCTTGTCTATCCCTTGGTTTCATAATGGATGTGTCCCTTGACATATGCCAGAAATAAAGAGCAGCACTAATGAACTCAAAATGGCATTAATGTACATTACTAGGATGCAAATTTGAATAAGATTCCACATTAATATTGCTTAATTTTCTTTTAATAATTAAGCTTGGATGGTCTGATCCTACCTACTTCCATTTGAGCCAATGGCAAAATCTCTATTAACTTTAAAGACAACACTCTTGAAACTAAAGATATGATTTTTTTTCCCTCCAAAAAATGCCCACGGCATTTATGAGCACAAGACTTGCTGACGTGCTCCTAAATTCCTTTCACACTTTTAGAAATCTCCCAGTAATTTAACATGAAACATATTTTATCTCCATGGTCCTCCTTTTATCTCCTAAGTTCCTGAGGGTATGTCTACACTACCCCGCTAGTTCGAACTAGCGGGGTAATGTATGCATACCGAACGTGCAAATGAAGCCCGGGAAATTCAAATCCCGGGCTTCATTTGCACGTTCGGTATGCATACATTACCCCGCTAGTTCGAACTAGCGGGGTAATGTATGCATACCGAACGTGCAAATGAAGCCCGGGAAATTCAAATCCCGGGCTTCATTTGCACGTTCGGTATGCATACATTACCCCGCTAGTTCGAACTAGCGGGGTAATGTATGCATACCGAACGTGCAAATGAAGCCCGGGAAATTCAAATCCCGGGCTTCATTTGCACGTTCGGTATGCATACATTACCCCGCTAGTTCGAACTAGCGGGGTAGTGTAGACATACCCTGGGTTATTTTCAGTGAGTTTGAAAATATAATACTTTTCTCTTTCACTTGGATAGTGCTTGTAGTGGTCTCTTGCTCTCAAATGGAGGAGGGAGTCCTCTCTGCATCAGTACAGGCAGATTGCAAGGAACAGTC